GCGGGAAAGCATTCTCGACAAATATTTCGCATAAAGAAACTTTTACAAAAATAAAATATTTCAAATATATGGATGTAAAGGTAGAAAAAAGAGGAACGAAAGATCATAGCAAATTTCTGGAATCCATTTGGCTCCAAGGAATGAATCTGCAGTAAGAAGTGGGCCATAAATGAATTGTCACCATGTGAATCCAAGAATGGAGGTCAGTGTTAGTTATTTCCAAATAAACGTTTTTTTTAATTGCCTGATACTGAGACAGAATTTCCCTCAGTGGGATTAAATCAGATGCATTTAATTCTGTTCAAGTTAAAAATTTCTACAGAATATAAAAATCTACACAAACTTTTTTCATGTTTCCTCCCAAAAGAACAGATCATTTTGAAAAATAATCCTTAACAGAAAAATTTAGCACATGCAACTTGTTTGGGGTGCCAAGAAATTAGAGAACAATTTCTAATAAAGTATATACATCCCATGACAAAAATAATTTTTATTTCAGCACACAATTAAAGATCACACATAGGCCTAGATACAAATATTAGTGATTAACTTTTTTGGTAACAGTCCTTATGTTGTCCACAGTACAGCTATTTCTTGAAATCTGGAATATTTCATAGCAAAGATTAATACACAGAGTACTGACAGGAGTCTTAACATTTAAAGTGTAAAATTCAAATGTCTTTAAAAAATAAGTTATTTCAACAAACATCATAATCGGAGTGTAATATACCCTTTTCTTGTTTCTATCTTTGCCCTAAAAATGCAATTTTGATACTTTAGCCATTTTGGAAAGCTTTGTAATTTTTTTTAACATTTTTAAGGTAGTTGTTATTTTAGGAATTATATGTAAATATGAAAGTCCCAAATGCACATTGCTTTTTAGTGAAGGAAGCAGTTTTCAGATGTCCTTTCTTTTCAGTTAGCATTCCAGGCTCTAGGAACTCTAAGTCAGTAGTCCAATACCCACATGTCCTTATAATAAGGTAATTTGCAGAATCTCTGTGAAAGACCTTTAAGATTTCATGGCCACACATTCATGTGCTCTTTAGCTAAGCACTATAAGAGGAAAAGATCTGAAAAGAACTAATAATAGTTATCTACTGGTAGGTGACATTATGGCTTTTCATTTATCTATGCTTTTAAATTTTTAAATAACAAACATGCAACATTTGATAATAAAAATAGAAGACAAAAATAACTTCTCATTTGGTAATTTCCCTTTAGGAATTTACCCCTAATTCCTCTTCCCTAAAAAAAATCTTAAATGCTACAGAGTTACATGCACAAAAATGTTCACTGAAAATTATTGACTGTGTGTGAAAACTGCAAACAATCTAATGTTCAATAATAAGGAACTCATGAAACAAAATAGGAGTCATCTAAAAGGTAGTACACTATACAGCTATTAAGACTGTTTTATAAAGTTATAGATAATAAAAATGCCTAGGCTATAATGATAACTGGACTAAAGGATACAATTTAAAGTATATCATGTAATCCCTTCTATGGAAAAAATGCATTAAAAAATAAGACTGGAGTAAATATTCCATAATGTTAAGAATGATTTACCCCATTGGTGGAGGAATTATGCATGTACTTCTCTGCACACTATTTTTTCTCTATAGTGAGACCACATTTCTTTAGTAGTCAGAAAACAAAAAAAAAATTTAAAGACACAATGACTTTTCTGGAATTTTATTTAACAGACAAAAACAACAAACAAACACACAAAAAAGCAAGTGAAAAACTAGCCATACAATTAGTTAGAAGGAAATAGTTCCTTGCTAGTATAGTACTAATAAAATAAAACACTACTCAAGGACATTCACGGCATAGCAAGCAAGCTAGCAACCACAACTGCCTAAAATAGTTTTTAACAGTCTAAATGCTATTATTCTCTCCCCATTATGCTAATTTTATAAAATTAGCTACTTTAATTCATAAACCACAAAACAATACTACAAAGCTTTTATGAAGTATTATATTAGGAAGCTTGAGTCTACCACCACCTGTCATCCCTTTTGTGTGAAAAATCTACATAGGGGAACTAAAATGAGGATACCGCTTCAGATGATGTAAATACAATTCTTAAACAATGTTAAGTTCTTTGATAGAACAAAATAAATATTTATTTTCACTTCTATTTTTTCCCCCCTAAAAGGCAAGCAGTCTTGGATCGCCCAAGCTCTGTAGAAAATACATCATTTTTTGAATGCTACAGAACAAGAGACAGAGAACAGCCAATTAAAACTAAAAGGGGCCAACTGTTCAACACAGAAATGTTTAAACTAAGCCCGAAACTTTGCCTTGGGTTTAAACATGGGGGAAGTTTTAAAACATACAAACTTATATTGATGTTAAAGCTTAGTATATTGAAAAAAGCTTTTATAATCAGTAAGCATAATCACAAGTCTGCTGGTACTATTCTTTTATACCATATTAACTGTCCTCACTGTAATTACTGAAGTATATTCAGCAATGAGGACCTAAAATAATGATAAATAAAACTTGAAAGTTTCCATTAGCTATCTTATAATATTTGAGATAGTCACTGTAGTTATTAAAGACACACATTATGTATCCAGTTTATGAAGATAAATAACTGCTTTAAAAAAAATCTCATTAGTAACATCGAATACATTAAGAAAAACAATTGTGCCTATGCTATTGTTAAAAAATTCTTAAATTCTTACAAATTATCAAGTAAGTTCACAGAGCAACTTCACAGTACTTGAGAGCTACAGGAACTTTTCATTAATTATCTTAGTATTTTCCTCTCAACTTTAATATCGCTAGTCATCACACCAAATTACCATAAACTCACATACTCAGCATCTTAAATTCACAGTTTCTTTTTATATGTTAAGGACACTAGCGCCGAAAGGAAATGAGTTCCATGGACTAGACAAGTAGCTTTTAATTTAAATCATTTTATGCACATATGATACTACAGAACACAATTAGGATATGAGTGCTTTCACGATCTGACCTGTGCCTTCAATTACAAATGCAGTGAACTCACTCTCAAAGCCAAGTCATGACACTACGTCACAGTGCCCCCTAGCTCTGCAAGATATATCAGTTTGAAAGGGACACACAGTTCGAACTGTCAACCTCAAGAAAGGCAGTCCCTATCAGTCCCACTTAAGCAATTCTTAAATAGATACTGTATTAAGAAACAGTGACCTAATAAATAACAGCTGACATTTAATTGGCGGGACAATACTAATAAGAACTGCTGAGAGAAAACAGAATTGACAGGTCTGAAATTCAACTTCATAATATAGTTCAAAAGTTCTGTAGACATTGCAGGTAACGCACAATTTGTTTGATTTTTGAAAATCACTTAGCAAGGACTCGTATAAAAATACACATTCAAAATGCCTTCATTTCAACGAATTTAAGGGGAAATAGCATGGTAATTAGGCCATGGTTCTGAAGAGGAATGGAAACAGTTTGTTTCTTCATTTTAAAAAATGCTTGGGTGAGATTAAACTATGCAAATATTTAGCAATGTCATTATAGCCACACATTATCTATCACTACAAAGTTAACCTAAATTGCTAACATGGGTAAATTTGTGAGAGGAAAATTTGTGACCTTGGTCCTGAGGCAAAAAAAAAAAAAGGAGATTGGACGGCTTCAAGATCAGCAGCAGAGGTCAAAAGTGAAGATGACACAGATATATACCCTTCTTTTCTTAAATGTACTCCTTCAGATTAAGTAAAACTTCTAAGAACAACAGTAGCAAAAAAGCACTCAAGTTCTCAAATGCCCTTCATCCTACATAGCCATTCTGGAAAGCAAATCTACTTTATTGCATATTCAAACTCGAGTACATTTGTACTTTGAAGGGGCACAACTGAATAGGATGAAAACTGCAAAATAAAAAAAGACAAACTGAAAAAAAAAAGGGGTGCAACTCCATGAGCAACTCCATGAAGGTATGGAGTACGCGAAAAACACAAGGTTTTATTCCAAAGAATGATTTTGCTCCTACCGTCTTCCTAACGTATTTAATTTGCACGTCTTAAAATAGAGACCCCAAGGAAAGCAGCTTGAGGCAGGGGAAGGAAGGGGGGCGGGTTAGGTAAGAACAGAGATTTGTGAGAAAATATGTGCGGTGCATTAGAATGTGCCATGGAGGTGGGGTGGTGGGGGATGCTGGATTCCCCGGCAGGAAGCAGCTGAGGGCTTGGGAGCAGAGAGGCAGAATCTGATACCTGATGTGGCTTTAAGGGACGCGTATCCCCAGCCAGAACGCACACCAGGTAAAGGGACACCCGAGGCCCAGACGCCCCACTTTGCATTACCAAAGTGTGCAAACGCCTGGAAGACCATTTAACCCAGTCCTATTGTCTGGGGTATCGGCTGGAAATTGCTCCAGCACGAGATCAAGCTACCCTGACATCAAATTAGAGACACTGTCGGGCAAAAGGAGGGAAGGGAAGAGTGGACAGTGGCCGTCGGGGCGCTCTCGGCCACGGGGGGGGGTCCCTTCTCCGCGGGGGTCCCCGGGCCGCGCGCCGCCCCGTCCGGGGCGCGCGGGCGCAGCCGTGGGGTCCCCTCCGCGGGGCCGGCGGCGTCTCCCCGCGGCGCCCGGAGCGCCGAGACTTCCCCTCCCACCCCACCCCCAGTCGAAAGCTGGGAAGACGCGGAACTTGGGCTCCCCAGGAGGCCACAGGCCGGGTCACGGCCCGGGGGGGCGGCTCGGGGCGCAGTGCCGCGCGGCCACGGGGGGCGGCGCGGGGGACGCACAGCCCCGGCCGCTCGGGGCTGCGATCGGACGACCCCGGGGCGCGGGGACCCGGCCCCGACCCCTCGGGGCGCACCGCTCCCTGGCACCCCCGGGGTCCCTCCAGCCCCGGCCTTTGCGCGCGCCCCGGCCGGTGACCCCGGCCCCCCCGGGGTCCCCCAGCGCCGCGGCGGCCGCCCCCAGGGGCCAGCAGCGCCTCTCCCAGCCCGCGCCTCGGACGCGCCCGCCGGGCCCCGGGCCGCACCTCCGTCTTGGTGATCCGGTGCCGCCCCAGCTTCACCACGGCGAAGTTGCCCTTGCCCAGCGTGCCCTCGATGTCGTAGAACCCCACCCGGACCGGCCCGCGCTGCAAGTGCCTCGGGCCATCCGCCATGACCATGCTGGGCCCCGCTGCTGAGCACGGCGGGCTGGAGCGCGGGCGGGCGGGCGGGCGGGCGGGCTGCGCGGCGCGGCTCGGCTCGGGCGACGGCCGCTCGCTCGCTCCTGGGCTCCGTCCCTCCCGCTCCGCTGGGCCCAGCCAGGCGCGCGCCGCCGCTGACGTGCGCCGACGTCAGGGGGCCGGGGTAGGGGGGCGGGGGCGGGACCGGGCCGGATTGGTCACCATGGCGACCGGAGCCCCGCCGACGTCGGCGGCGCGAGGGCGGGGGCAGGAGGGGGCGTGGCCTGGACGGCGCGTTCCTTCCGGGCTCCGGCGCCCTCGGCCCCACAGCCGCCGCCGCCGCGCCGCTGACGGGGGTGGGGTCGCCACCCGGCCCGCCCGGTTTTTCGGCCTCGGAGCCGAAGCTCAAGAGCGAGCCCTGGTGGGCGGAGCGGAGGGGTGCAGCGAGCCGGGCGCGACCGGGGCGCCGTCCTCCGCCTCGCGTTGTCCGCCCGCCCGGGACCTTCCCGCCAAAACCTCACCCAGGGCTCCCCTGCGTGCTGGATGTGGCCCCGGCTAGGAGCGGCGGCTGAGGAGAGCTTCGCTCACAGGCGCCTTTCTTTGTGTCCTTCTCTATCCTTTCCTCGTCTCGCTGCTGTATGAATCCCTCTGAGGAGTCCTGACAGCAGGGCGGGCGCTCAGAGACTCGCTGAGTGGCGGTTCTGAGGAGACCCCACAGGTCACTTGGTTCAGGAATGTGGCGCCCCAAATAGGCTTCAGAGCCTGGGACACAAGGAAATGTACGCAAATTGTTGCTTATTTTATGAGTTTGCCCCCGGGGACATGGGGCTAGTGCTTTTATCCAGTTCCCAGAGGTGTTGGTGACACCGAAAAAGTTCAGAAATACTTATCTAATTCAATTTTTTTTTCAGATGAGAAAGCAAACCCCAGGAATGAAGGGGTGGCTAGAGGCACTCAGGCATGGCTAGGTTTAGGATGGCACCACACGCCTTCTAGAGCTGACCCAAGGAGACAGGTACTGCTTTGTTTTAATATTTTGAATATCACAGGAGTCCAGGTCTTGGTACCTAGGTGCCATTCTCCACTTTGAGCAACCAGACTCTGCAGAATGGTTGGTTCCAGGGCAAAAAACAGGGAAAGTGTAAACTGCCCTTGAAAGATTTTGTACCAGAGAGCAAGATTTTCAAAGACTGATGAGTACAGGTCAAAAGGATGCAGGAGTCTGGTTCAAGGTACCTCCATTTACTAAATGTGGGACAATTTGAACATCGTGCATGATATAACAATGGATTTTTAAAAAGGAATTTACAAATCCATATTTATTCATAATATTTTAAATAAAAATAAAGTGTGAAAATGATTTTTTGACAGTGGCATGCCAACGAATACACATAAATGATGAAATTAGAAAAATCACGGTTTTGCAACCACTATAGTAATAATTGACTCAGCTTTATCAATAGATGTGAAAATCATCGGGTGAAAGTTTGCTGGAAAGATGATACTTACATAGTCTGTAAGTATCCCTCGATTTCTTATTCATTACAAAGGGGTAGACGCTACCTGTATTATGCAGAAATCTGACAGAATTCTGAGCCAAGTGATCAAAGTTACTGTCACCAATTGTGGAATAAAATGACATGATGTGCCTTTTGATGTGAGAGTGAGATGTACACAGTCTCATGTAGTATCTTTGGCAAAAAATACGTGTCTGGATCTCATCACAAAGAAACAATTAGAAAAATGCAAATTGAGAAACAGTCTACCAACCACTGGCCTTTACTCTTAAAAAATGTCTGTCACCAGAGACAAAGACAGGCTAAGAGAATTGTTCTAACTGTAGGGGATTAAAAAGGCAACTTGTGATCCTGGATTGGGGAAAAATACTTTAAAGAAATGTTTTCAGGATAACTGTAGAAATTTGAATATGGATTATATATTAGATAATAGTGCTATTTAAATGTTGAGCTTCTTGAATTTCATATTTGTGCTATGGTTATGAAAATACCCTTACTAAGAGATGCACACTGAAGTATTTAGTGATAAAAGTTTTTGATATATTTATGTAACATCCTCTCAAATGGTTTCGCAAAGATAGATAGATAAGGCAAATGTAGCCAAATGTTAAATTGATAAATCTAGATAACGGGTATATGAGAGTTTATTGTGCTGTTTTGCAACTTTTCTTAGTTTTAATTTTTTAATGGAAGTTAATGTATGTGTGTATACATTTACTTTTTTGTTTCACATTTTATCTTTGTCAGATGGGTTGTCTTTTGGGTCCTCCTTCTTCTTTCTTTGCTTCTGTCCTTCATTCTCCCCAAGTAGTATCTTCTACTCTAAATCATGTTGTTTGCAAAACTGAGAAAGGGATTGGAATTGGAATTAGTCTGTAAGGCTGATAAGATTTCTGGATTGATGGGAGTAGCTCTAAATAATCTAAGAGCTCACAGTTCAAAAATAGCTCCCATATACATTTGCCTGTTAGATTAATGTGGTTTAATTGCTCTGGGGAAGCTGATGAAAAGTTGCTTAGTCAAGAATGAGAAAATGCACGTAGAGATTCACTAGAGCCAACAGCCTCCTCTTTTAAAGTATTTTTTTTAAATGTGAATTAAGACTAATTTCTCTCTGACTATTTTAATAGGATACCAGACCAACTGTCTCCTTGTAGAAATCTGTGAATAAGATTTGATTTGGAGTTGGCAATAATAGAAAGGAATGGCAGGGAGTGCCCAAAGGTTTTAGGCAAACCAGGTATCAGTGCAAAGATGCTGAATGTTTAGAGACTAGAGAAAGGGAGGCCAGAAATGGCACTATTGCAAAAATAAACCTTGTGCATTTGGAAATGCTGCTGGGGTACTGGTAGATTATAAATGTAACCCCGAAGAAGTACATGGGAACTGAGCAGAATATTGCATCCTTGGAATTTGTGATTTGCTCTTTTTCCTCTGTCCAGAAGATCTCTTTCTCCCTGTAGGGATACAGATTCAACCCTGTATCTCTAGCTAGAATATGTCTTTACTTCAACTAAATGATAGGGATATATTGATGCATTTTAGCAATTACTAATAGTATCTAACACTTGCTTTCCTTTCCTCTTTCTTTCTCCCTTGGACACACACTGCCATCACTACCACCACTATCATCCTTCAGGAAAAATAAGGGGAAAGAAAAGTGAAACTTCTACAATCCCCATCCTTCATCTCCAGTTTCAGTATAAGTAAGGTAGAGTGCTCTAATCACGAGATTTCCTATTTGCTTGAACTTTAAAATGTAACATCCCCAGCTAATGCATGAATCCATTATATTTGCCACTGAGTTGATTAAAAGATATTAAGATGACAAAGGACAAGGGTGAATACATAGAAAGAATTAAGAAAGATGGTGAGAGACTGAGATAAGAATTAATGCTATATCAGACTAAAACAGACTTTGAAACAAAAAAATGTAGGAGTTAGCAAAGTGATAGTGAAAGATTTGAAATGTGAGGAAAGAAAACCTCACGGCTCATAGTGCTGTATATATTTTGGTGAAGCAGACAGCCCATGAACTCGAGAAACAAGATATGCATTGTGTTTCCTTTGTCAAGAATAATATCTGCATTTTTTTGCTGTTTAATCATTTTATGACTGAATGAAAGTCAATATACCAGTATGCCTAGGCCTGATTTTAGATTTAGTTCAAATAAAAAACTAGTAAAATCTTTATTAGATTGCTTAGAAAAATAGATTACAAAGCTAGAGTGAATACTTTGCTTTTTGCTTTTATATTACAAAAGACAGAAAGTATATGAGAAAATACAAATTACACCCCTTGCCAATTACAAGTGCTTCTTTTATTTTTAGAAGTTATTTATTTCTTTAAAGATTTATTTTTTTATTTTGCATGCAAGATCTGCGGTATAGGCCAGAGATGGGGGGTGGGGATGAGAGAATTCACCAGAGGCAGACTGGGGAGCAGAACAGGTGGATCTATTGGAATATACCGCTAAGGGGAGCAGCAGTTGAGGCAGGAGAGGTCTGCTGTGCCCTATGTGGGTCAGCTCCCTGGCCAGGGCTCGAACTCATGCTAAAACGGTGATAGGGCTGAGACTTAACCCGTAGGCTACTGGAGAGGCCCTACAAGTCCTTCTTATTAGTAGAAATATAGTTATTCCTGGAATATTTGTCAATCTTCAGGTTAATGAGCATTTGGGTGTCACTGTCACTATGTTTAAGCTACTATTCAGAAAATAATCTAGAGGACTGATGTTATTTAAAGAAAACTTTTTCAGCTCTTTTAAAGGATAGGTCACCTTGCCCTGGTTTTAATTTTTTTTTTTTAAATTTAGTTATAGTTGTATCTTCTCTAAATGAAGAATAATTATCTCTAAACTTTGAAAATAATTTCAAACTTTTTTATTTCTCTTCTGGGATGACAGGTTTTCTTAGGGTCACTATGTTTAAGCTACTATTCAAGAAATAATCTAGAGGACTGATGTTATTTAAATAAAACATTTTCGGCTCTTTTAAAGGACAGGTCACCTTGCCCTGGTTTTAATTTTTTTTTAATTTAGTTATAGCTGTTGTATCTTCTCTAAATGAAGAATAATTATCTCTAAACTTTGAAAATAATTTCAAACTTTTTTATTTCTCTTCTGGGATGACAGGTTTTCTTAGGGTCTTAAAGAATGTCATGAGTCTACCTTCTCATCTGATACAAAATCTCTAAACATTAGACAGGTAGCATCAAACCTAGGATTACTGCTTAATAGAAAAACCCAGTCTATGTGAGATAATAGTGGAAAATATTCTTTCATAATAGCTGCTTCTTTCCAATGTCCATAGATTTTAGTTCTGTTCCCTAGCACAAGATATACACACAAACACACTCACAGACACTCCTACCTATTATATTCTTTCTTCCATTCTCCAGCAAAACATTCTCCAGTTCACTGTGTAGCCTACTATATTTCTAGCATTCTGCTGTTTTCCCCTAATGCTTCTCTGGACTCTGGTTTGTCAATTTCTCTTTATTATATTGTTTCCAAAACTGAGCACAGTAGCCCAGGTGTCATCTACGCAGTTAAGATTAGATCAACTGACACTCCTGGTCTTCTACATACGATATTGTTACTATTTTCAAAAAAAGTAACTGGAAATCCCAATAGTTAAAAACGTCATCTTGTTGATTTTGCTCTTTGTTCCAGATAATAGAATAATTTTGAATCTTTGCTCTGCTGTCTATCATATTACCTACTCTTTAGTCTTCTGGGCCATCTGCTGATTCTTCCAACTTGGCTTCTATCTCCTTACTGCACTCATTATTCTTTCTCCCTCCACTCCTAGTGCAAGTGTGTGGCTCCTAGTAGGTTTATGACTGGATTAGTAAACTGGCCAATAGGGCAAAGCCTGGGCCAGAGTTTTGAGTTTGTCACTAATTGTCTTCCATTTTAATTTCCAACAATTTATTAGTCAACATTCATTTAATTCGGTTATTTATATAACCTTGAACTCCAGGAAAATTCTACATCTATGCTGCTGGGATAAGATTTTAAAGATGGCCCTCAAACATTCTAATATCAATATTTCAATGTGTAAGCTACTCAACTCTCATTTACTTCCCCCTTAGTTTTTTTCTTTCTATGATAGGAATATTTTACTAATTTGCTCCAACTTTACTAGATGATTGTAGGGTAAGGAAAAAATGTCAGGCTTTTCTGCCCTCCCGCCATTAGGATAGATGACGGAACCCTGTGGTCCTGAATGCATGCCTGATGGCGGGCACCTGGAATAGGGTGTGGGCATGTGTAGATGGGATTCACCTGGGCTAAGACTGTGCTTTTTTTTTAAGGGCGGCATCATGGGGACGCCAGCAGAAGCTGAGAAGCAGTGGAACGAACAGAAGAGCAGAGAAGCAGAGAGAAGGCTGGAGAGCCCAGATAGAGTGAAGACTTGCTGGGGGCTGGGAGGACTGCCAGCCTCCCAGCCCCCCAGCACCCCCGCCTGCTGTGTACCAGGTAAATCCCAATAAAAGCTGCAAAAAGCCACTGAGGACTCTGACTCCTCCTTTACCCAGTCTGCTGGATCAGAAAACCTGCACTGTGGTCATTCCTCTCACTACAATGATGAACTTCATTGAGGGTAAGGATTATATCTTAGTCTTTTTGAAATTCCTAAACTTTCTGGCATAATTCAACAAATGCAGTTTAGTTTGACATTTATTGCATTCATGTGCTAGACACCATGGTCCACAATAGGGAAGCAAAAATGAATAAGGCACAGTCGCTGACTTTGAGAATGTTATGGTTAAGAGTGAGAACTCAGAAATCTGGCTGCTTTGGTATGACTTATGGTTCTGCCACTTACTAGCAGGTGACTTTGGGAAAGTTGCTTAACCTTTCTCTGCCTCAGTTTCTCACTATTAAGTAGTCCTATGTAACACTTCATAGCATCTATCTCAGGATTGTAGTTATAACGTGAGGTGGTAAGTGCTAAGATCAAAGGTTTGCATAGGGAACACAGAGAAGAGGTGATTAATGTGTTTGCAAGAGAGGCTTCCAAAGAGGAAACTGGAGGGAGTTGAGAAATTCAGTAAGCGTTAACCAGGTAAAAGAAAGATTGGGTAAGCATTTGAAGAGGAAACAGCATGAGCAATGGTCCTGAAGGTATGAAGAGGGAGGATGTACTTAGATAACTGCTCTCAGTTGTGAATGTTGGTACTTAATGATGAGATTGTCCACAGATAAAATAGAAAGATACATGGGACCAGGTCATGGAGGGCTCCCTCTCCCCTGTCCAGCCAGATTGCTGCTCCTTAACCCTGCCAAAGAAAAATTCTGAAGCTGCAAGTGGATAGGAAAGCTGCTGGAGTGATGAGTTCTTACTGTGGCAGTGATGAGATGTGCAGGATGGGGAAGAGAGATGTTGAAGATTGCTCCCAGGTTTTTGACAGGAGTGAACAGATGTAATCAATTACTGAGAATTACTTCCCATGTGCCTGCCATTCACTGCTGGGCACTGAACAACCAAAGGTGGATGGAATGTGGATCCAGTCCTCAAAAAGCATATAATCAACTTCATTCAGACGTTAGCCCTTACTTCTCTAATAGATATGTAAAGATATTATGAAAGATGATTAAATAATTTGCAGAAATCAATATATATTATGTCTGTGTAATGGAGCAAAGGGAGATGTGTTGGGAATCAGATGTTCTGCACTGCCATTTGTAAGCTCTGGATACATGATTCTGGAGCTCAGAGGAGAGATTTAGGCTGGAAATTTACAGCTTAATAGTACCGATGGTCTAAGTCAAAGACAGGATGGTATCCCTGAAGTATAAAGGTGGAGGAGAAGACATTGCAGCTATTTACTGTCTTCTGCTAATTTGGGAGCCCATTAATGTACAGCTCAAGAGGATAAACCCACAGATTCATGGGGGGGCCTGGGTTTGAGTTTTTACCATTCTGACTTGTCTGTTCAAGGAGTAAATATTGCAAGTGAGTCATTAGTTATTTTCTAATCTTCAGTTTCAGAAAGTGTTTTATATTGTGAAAGCTAGAACCATGTTTGCTTCTAATTTGCTAGTGGACATGTTCTTTTTGGGTTTGTAGGTGTATTTTTGGAACTGTGAATATGTAAATTTCAGTTTTTAATATAATTGTATCCAACTTTGGTGGTTGTTAATTTTAACCTGGTTTTAGCAGATTGTTTTAGACTGTTGAACTTAGATTAAATGTTATATTTATAACTACAAAAGTTATTTTTAAATTTGCACTTATTTTTGGTCTCCAAGACTGACGAATATATTCATTTGCTCAGTTCACTTGGCAAAAAGAAAATAACTTGCAAAAACAAGCCAATAAAAAATTCACCCCCTCCACCCCTACAACAGTGAAAGAGAAGACAAAATCCCATATTATTTTGTACAGGATTCATGGGAGTGGGCTAATAAAGAGAAGAATTCACTCTGCCAAGGAGGGGAAGCAGGAGAATTGGAAAGAAATTGGCTAGAGAGGGAAAAATATTAAGATCTAGATGGAAGAGTGTTTAAAGGAGAATTTTAAGGTAAAGGGACTACGTTCAATCACCGAAAAGCTGTCAAGCACTATAAAGATCAAAAAGAATTCACTGGATTTAGTCACGAAGAGATAATTGATGATCTTTGCAGAGCATCTCAGAGTACCGAGGGCGGGAGAGTGGGAAGGGGTGAAGACAAATGAGTGCAGACCGGTCTTGCAAGAAATGTCTATGACAGAACAAAGACAACGGAGATGTAGAGTCAAGAGAAGCTTAGTGTGTTTTTTCTTTTTCTTTTTTTTTTTTTTTCATTTGCTAGAGTGTTGAGCACTTTTGGAAAGGCTAGAAGACAGAAAGTTTGAAGTAAATTGGGTAAAGATCATCTACTTAGGGCAATAAAATCCAAGATTCCAGGGGCTCTTCAGCCAGGAGGTGAGATGCCTCCTTTACTCTGATATGGGTGGGGGATGGAAACAAGGGCAGCTTTAGCTTCAGGTAAGTGGGGGTAGTTAGTTAGTTTGCTGTGCAGGAAGTTAACCTTTGGCTCAGTTTCCTCTGTGAAATAGGAAGCAGGTTATCTGCAGAGTGTGAGAATACAGGAACAAGAGGCTTTCGAGGAGCAGTGGAGGTCTGAAAAATCAGCGGTGAGAGTGGGAAAGGAAACTGATTAGGACACAGAGAAAATGTGCTGGGCAGTGAGGACGATCTGTTTGAGGATGGAAAACCATGAATTGGTACATACACCAATTAAATAGCCATAGGACTTTTTGCAACAATGTTTGCTATCCTGGATTCCAGTACAGGGCTGGAGTTTGCTGTTTGGATCCTACTGAATGTTAAAGGGGCAAGAAAGTTATTGGAAACACGTATCATGTAGCCTGGATAGAGAAAGAAATGAAGATAAGAAGAGGCGGGGGTGGGCGGGATGAGGGGCTGGGGGGGTGGGGGAAATGGGGTGGGGTGGGGCGGGAAATGGAGGGCCCAAGACTCTGGAGCATAAATGAGGTGCTGAAGAAGGCATAAAAGGTCTTGAGGAGGAGTTGTGTCTATTCTGGTGTACACCTGAGTTAGACATTAATTTAGTTCATGGCAAAATACAGGGCATGGCCTGGATGGGTGAATAAAGTAAAGTTAAGGGGTCTGCCTCTTTCCCTGCAGTATCATCCCCACTTAATATAATACCTAGAACAAATATATATGTTTCCCAGAATGAATAAAATGCTTTATTTTTCTGCTTCTGAGTGTATTTTCTCAATTTCTCTCTTCTTCAGGTATTTAGTTAGTTATGGAAAATGCTTTAAAGGAAAATTACTGCCTGCTAGGATATTGCATGCATGGGATCTAGATCTAGTCTGGAGGGGAGGTAGGGGCCAAGAAGTTTTCCTAAGGAAGTGACATTTAAGTTAAACTCTGTAGAGTGAGTAAGAATTAGCCAGGGAAGGAGATGTAAAGAGAGCCTTGCCAATAGAATTAAAAAGGTTTCTGAATATTTTGAGGCTCATGAAGCTGAAAATGTTCAAACTAAATCATAACAATGAAAGTTGGGAGATGGAATTCAAGGGGTCAGTTAGGACTGTATTATGTACTGCTACATGTACTACATCATAAGGGACATTTGACCTTCTAGACTTGAAATGGGAAAAGTTGACTTATAATTGTTGTTAATGTCTAAGCTTTAATTGAAATTATTATAGGTGTGTGATTCTACACAATGAAATTTGAAATTTTAAATAATTATATATTATATAAAATGTCTTCTCCACAGTCTACTACTTCTCTTCTACAAAGCCTTGTACTTTTGGATTAAACAAAGAAAATGTGATGGTCTTCCAAATACCACTTTTAAAATGCGTTTTGGTTGCTTAAGAGAAAGTCCCTGGGCTTCCTCCCTCTCCGCTATTCTGTTTTATTCCAGTTAGCTTCATAACTGGGATGATTGGGTATCTGTATATCTGTATAAGGAACTGGTAAGCATCATTTACTGGAATGTGAAGAAAGCAAGGACCAGAGCAGAGACCTTTGGTGATGAAGGAAGGCTCAGGTCTATCAGCATTGAAAATTGAGATTTTTGAATCTTGGGTTGTCCAGGTGCAGCTAAGTTCCCAGGGGATACTTGTTATACAATTTGGTCTTATATAAACCTATGTAAAACCTTTCATTTTGCCAGCATTGAGAATTACCGTGGTCTGGCTCCTGACCCGAAGATGAATCTTGAAGGACCCATAGAGGAAAAGTATCATGGAAATAAAGGTGAAATCCACAGAGAAATCCCCAGGGAGAGGTAAGCCTGTTTTTAACTTAGGTATGTACATCTAAACCCTGAGGCAGGAAAATTATGTAGAAATTAGCTCATCAACTATGAAAAGAACAAGAATCACAAAGATCTCAGACTTTTCAAGAGCAACAAGAAGATAGTGGTAATAGTTTTAAGTGTTGCAAAGACAAAAGAACTTTGAACCTATAACTTTAAATTTATATGCAGTAAATCGACATTTATGTGAGGGTATAGTAACATTTTCAGGTGTGTATAGCTTGAAAAGGTTTGTCAAACAGACCCATATTGAAAATAGTCGTGGGAATAGCACACTAAAAGAAGAAGCAAATCGAGGAGATACTGCTAGAAATGTGTGATGTAACGATAATTAAATACCTGGGAAAAGTTTGGTGTTATCTTTCAAAAATTAGCAAAGACCAAAAAAAAAAAAGTTTATAATAACCTACACTTAAATTCTACATAATATCAAAGGGTAGTGTCTTTAGGTTAGACATTTCTTAAGAACAGAATAAATTGAAAGAAAGTAGAAAGCAGAGGAGAAAAACAATAGCCAAAATTAATGAGATAGAAAAGAAAAAGAAAATACAGAGATGAACAGAACCAAAAATTGATTCTTTGGAAAAAACAACTAATGAAATAGATCAGTGCCTGGAAAAAGTGATAAAGGATAGGAAAAAAAAAAAAAAAAAACCCAAAACACTAGTGTTATCTTTTAATCTCAGCTTTATTTGTGGATGTGTCCATTCTGGTATTCCTAATATTATCTCCATACCATGCAAACAGATTTGAAATACATGAAATGGAAAATTTTCTGGAAGAAAATCATAATCTATCAATTGAATGAAGAAATTAAGAGTAGAGGCTATAATAGCGTTGTAACCATTAAAGAAATTAAATCAATATTTCATCTCACAAATAAAATATCAGGGCGGTGATTTTGTAGGCGAGTTCTACTAAACTTCCAAGGAACCTGTCATACTGAACTTCCTACGAACTATAACAGAAGAAAACAAAAATAGGGAGTACTCCCACCTCATGTATGGGACCATAAAATCTCCAGCTTCATGATAAGGATATTATGAGAAAGGAAATTTACAGATTATTTCCTCAGGAACTTAAGTGTAGAAATTCTAAACAAAATATTTGCAAGCTTAGTCCAGCAGAGTATACAAAGTAAAATATACCATGTAGAACTTTCTTAAGACTTTAACTATTTACATTCTTTATATTTATAGCATATCTATAATGTAGATATATAGCTATATCTCTATAGACATATAAAATATCTATAAATATAATTCACAGCATTCACAACTTAAAAGGACAAAAATATAATCATCTTAAAGGATAAAAATATTTCACAGAAATTGGACATGGACTCATGATAAAAATTCTTAAGCAAATGGAAAATTTGCTTAACCTGATGAAGGATAATTATGTATAGCAAATATCATACTTAATGGGGAAGCAATAGTAGCATGCTATTTAAAAGCAGGAATGAGACAACGATGCCCGATAACATCACTTCTATTCAAATTTATATTGACTGTTTTAACTAGTGCAATAAGGCACAAAAAAGCACAGGGAGGCTTAAGAAATGGAAAGGAGGAAATAGAATCTTTATTATTTGCTGGTGGTATGATTATAAAAAATTAAAGATTCCTGATCAATGCATTATGTCATTATCAATAATAGTAAAAGTTAGCAAATTGAATTGATTCTTATACACTAGCAAATGTAACCATAAAATATAATTTCAGTGGATACCACTTATATTCTTAGAAACCATAATTTCATAGACTAAAATTTTTAAAGAGATGTCAAGGACCCCCATGGAGAAAAAAGAAAATTTTTGAGATTCATTAACAAGTCCTAAATAAATGAGGAGAAATACAATGATACCTATTGCTTATATCTATAATAGAAAAACTTAATATTGTTTCTTAAGTTGTAATATTGTAAATATTTCACTTCTCATATTGATTTATGGACTTACTGTAACTCCAACAAAAATCCCAATAGGATTGTAATGGAACTTGACAGTTTATTCTAAAATTTGTATGGGAGAGTAAAGGACCAAAAGTTAAGACTTTTCTTTTTAGAGAAGAGTAGGGAGAGGAAATTTGCTTTACTAGATAACAGGATTTCTTTTAAAGATGTTGTGTCTGAAGATAGCATGGTATTTGATCCCAATAGAACCAATTATAAACCAATGAGTAGATAGAAAACTCAGAGACAGAACTATGTAGATATGGAAAATTAATATATGATAGCTGTGGCATGGCAGTTCAATAGGAAAAAGAGGGGTGATTCAATAGAGTAGTAAAAACGTAATTTTATATTGAAAACATCCTATTATTGATTCCCTATTTCATACCATATGTAAGAATGAACTGCAGATATATTAAGAACTTAGGTATTAAAAAGGAAAATGTGGACCTCCCTGGTGGCCTAAGGATTAACTCTCAGTGCTGTGGGCCATACAGCCTGAATTTGATCCCTGGCCAGGGAGCTAACCCACATATGGCTTAGCAGGCCTCCCCTGTCTCGCCTGCTGCTACCCTCAGCAGTGTGTTTCAGTAAGTCCACCTGATCTGCTCCCCATTCTGTATCTGGTGAATCCTCTCACCCCCCTGAACCTCTGGCCTATACCCCAGTTCTTCTATGCAAAAATAAATAAGATCTTTAAAAAAAAAAATTAAAATGTTATAGGTAAATATTTTTCTGACTTTGGGGTAGAAATATTTGTTAAAGACACATCAAAAAAATTTCTAACCATAAAAGATCAGTCTGAGTATATTAAAATTAAGATCTGAACACCAAAAGCTGTCTTACAAAAATAAAGAGTTTGAGAGAGGTTATTTGCAACACAATTAACCTACAAAATATTTAATAGCAAGAATATATAAAGGTTTCCTCAAATTAATAAGGAAAAGGCAAATAATTCAATAGAAGATGGGTAAGAAATACAGAGGAGAAAACATGATCAATAAAATTGTGATAATCAGCTTCATTACTGATGTCAATTTATATCCATTCAATTGGCAAAAAACTAAGGAGGATGGCAATGAAAGTATTGGAGATACTATGAATTAACAGGATGTCTTATACAAACCCTTGGAAGTATAAATGGGTATGACCAGTGTGGAAAGTTTGCTATCTATCTAGATGCTGAACATTTCCATATCCTATTATTCAGCAATTCCACTTCTAGATATACACTCAAGAAAAACTCTCGTACGATAGAAGACATAAACAAGAGTGTTTCCAGCAGTTTTTACTGAACTCTTACTCTTAACAAGAGTAAATACCTGAAACAAACCAAAAAATTATAGGAAATGGATAAATAAATTATGGTAACTTCACATCATGGCATATTATATAGCAAAGTGTAAAGCTACAAGCAAAAGTATGAATTATCTAGGTAATACAATTTTTTAAAAAGGAAATTTTCAAAGATTGTATAGAGCCGGTACCCTTTTTATAATGCTAAAGACAAAGAAAATTAAGCCATATAATTTTTAGGAGTATAAAAATGCAATAAGCTATAATTCCAAAACCAATTTATTATAATAAATGCAAGATTAAAGGAAGGAGAAGTAGAGAAATAGCTTGGCAAGAAGCTCATAGGTGTGTGTAAATGACTGTTGATGTTCTAATTTTTCAATTGGGTGATTGGTTCACAAGTATTATTAAAATAAGTACAGACTATATATAGAAACAAAAGAGGGCTTGCTTAGGCCAATGAATCAAAGATAATCCAATTCTCTGCACTTGAGTGGAAAAACAACATCAGCTGCCCACTACATTTTGCTTTTATTATTAGTTACCATTAATCTACATAGCAATCCTATTTTTTGTTACTACTGTAATCCTGTTTTTTTTAAAGTTTATTTATGCATACAAGAACTGGGGTGTAGCCCAGAGGTGCAGGAGGGTGAGAGGATTCACTAGAGACAGAGTAGGGAGCAGAACAGGCAGATCTATTAAAATACACTGCGGAGGGGAGCAGTGGTCGAGACGAGAGGGTTAGGGTTAGGACTCCTGTACCATGTGGGTTAGCTCCCTGGCCAAGGATTGAACTCATGCTGCAGTGGCTGGCGATAGCTTAATAGTGCTGAGACTTAACCTCTGTGCCTCCAGGGAGGCCCTGTAATCCCATTTGTACAGATGAATCAAATCTTGGTGAGTGAACCTAATTTGCTCTAGTCCATGAAGACAGCGTATAGTAGAATTCAGAATTTGAAGCCACATCTGTTTGACTCTAGGGCCTAGCCCTTAACAACTGGGTTAGGCTCCTGGCCACTAAGACTGTTTTATTCACTGAGATACCAACCAAGAGCAGTTCTGCTGATGACACATTCTCTAGATATGTGAAGGTGAGATTTTTACCTAACATAGGTATTGTGCTACAGAGACTTTGTCATTGCAAGTTGAGGAATTTGCTTCTGCATGTCATGGAAAGCTTTGTTAAAATTAAACGACATGTCATATCATCAAGAAATAAGAATTTGAATGCAAGAGAGTTCCAGTAAGAAATGTCATACACTGTTACATCAAGAATGATTCATTCCTCTCGTCTGCATAATGTTCCTTTTCATATTCCCATGCAAGAATGTGAAGATTTGAAGCAAATATTCACAAAACTTTTTTTAGCAGCTGTAGATTTCTTCATGCCTAATTCAGATTTATTCTGCTTGAGACCTCACAAATAGCCTTCTTTCTGGTTTCTTATGTCTTTAAAGAACACCAGATGTGAAGCTCATGCCCCCTCTAGTGGTCAGCCACATTTTGTGATGTCTTCCTAAAAATGCTTCCATCCATTCCTGTAAAGATAATTTGATGCTTATTTTAGTGCCTTGATGGTATATTGGTGGAAAGGGTTAACAGTGAAAAAGAGAGGGATATATATTTTTTGAGGAAGACAATGTCACTAAGAACTTGGTTTGCAGGCAGATGTTTTATAAGAACTTATGCAAAAATTGGGGGGAAAATGTTGATCAGCT